AGATCCCCTGGAACTGGAGCTACAGACAGTTGTGAGCAGCCACGTGGGTGCTGGGAATTGAACCTAGGTCCTCTGGAAGAGCAGCCAGTGTTTGTAACCACTGAGCCATCTCTCCAGCCCCCATTTTTTAAAGATTTTTTTTGTTTTTGTTTTTTTTTGAGACAGGGTTTCTCTGTGTAGCTTTGCGCCTTTCCTGGAACTCACTCTGTAGACCAGGCTGGCCTCGAACTCACAGAGATCCGCCTGCCTCTGCCTCCCAAGTGCTGGGATTAAAGGCGTGCGCTACCACCGCCCGGCGCCATTCCATTCTTCACGATATGTCAAGAGAGCTGCAGCCATAAAACAAAATGTTGCTGGCACAGAAACAGACATGAACGGAGTAAAGTTGACGAGCCAAACCCGAGTACATGTAACTACAGCTATCCAATACTCGAAAAGAGGCCAAAAACATGCATCGGAGAAAAGAAAGCATCTTTAACAAATGGCGCTGGGAAAAGTTGATGTTCACAGCAGAAAAATGAAATTAGAATCTGTGTCTATCTCTCCACACAAAGGTTAACCCCCAAGTGGATAAAAAAATCTCAGTGTGAAACCTGAAACACTAAAATTGCTTGAAGAAATCAGGCAGTGCCCTAAGAGATGTTGTAAGAGGTATAGAAGGGACTTCCTGAGGAGGACTCCATTTGCCCAGGAATTAAGGCCAACAATTTAAAAATATTTCACAGTATTTGTCTTTTTTCCTTGTGGTTTCTGGTGTTTTTTTTTTTTTTTAAGTCTTGCTTATAAGATATTGCACTTCAATATTATAAAAACAAATGAACAGGAAGGTATGTATAAAGGTGTTGATGAGCAGTGGGGTTACGTGAGAAGTAGGATTTGATGTGCCATGGCTCCTGGAAGGGAGTGGGTGGGTTTTGAAGGCAGACCCCAGTGAGGTTTGTCACGGGAGGGAGGAATGAAAGGTTGATTGTGGAGGGCAGAGCTGCAGTTTCATGAAGGAAGCTGCAGGAGTTCAGCCCCACGAGACACTCTTGCTTTCTCTCTATGACAAAGTGGGAGCTGTTGTCTGAAAGTGAGTGGGGAAGTGTAGGTTAACTTCAAGGGAGCTGAGAAGGTTCCAGAGAACCACTGAATAGGGAGAGACTGTCTACAAGTTTTTTGTTTTTTTTTCTGAAGCTGAGGACCGAACCCAGGGCCTTGTGCTTGCTAGGCAAGCGCTCTCCCACTGAGCTAAATCCCCAACCCGTGTCTACAAGTTCTTGAGTATATCGCTGATATGCTGGTATAGAGTTCATTTGTGGAGCTAGGAACTGAACCTCAGACCTGTGTGCTAGGCTGTTGCTCTGTTGCTGAGCTAGCTATAACCCAGGGTATATAGAGGGGGGAAATTGTCCAGATTTTTTTGGAGTTATTTTTATTTTCTGTGCATGAGTGTTTTGTCTATCTGTCTGTCTATTTATCACACAGTGCCTGTATGTAAGGAGGCCAGAAAAGGGTGTTACCCCCCACCCCCAAAATAGAATAAATAGGTGGTTGCGAGCTGTCATGTGGGTGCTGGGGACCAAACCCATCCTCTGCAAGAGGTGTAAGTGTTCTTAACCGCTGAGTCATCTCTCCAGTCCCCCATTCCACCATGTAAATTTTAAATAGGTTCTTTACAGTATGTTTTTATAGTAATTCTTTTTTATTGTTAGCTGTTATTGTTTGTATCTTATCATAGGTAGGCATATATAGAAAAACATGGCATGTGTGGGTCAGGACAGTCAAGGTCTAGCACTCCACTGGAGGCCCATGTTTCCTGAGGAGGCCTGTTGTGTGTGACATCATTTAAGGGGACTGTGAGAGGGCTCAGTAGTTATGTCTGCTTGCTGCCATGCTGGATGACATGAGTTTGTCCCTCAGGACTCACATGGTGGACTGGGACAACAGACCTCAACATATATGCTATGACATGCACATGCCCCCTCCACCCATACATGTATAAATAAATAGCTGCAATACAAATTCAAATGTCATTTAGATTCACTGTGCTTAACTTTGATTGGTAAAAGGTATTCAGCTTTTAATTTTAAGTTTATTTTATTTATATTTTTGATACAGGGTCTCACCAAGTCACTGGGTGTCCTGGAACCATGTAGACCTTGCTGGCCTCAAATTCAAAGAGATCAGCCTGCCCTGAGTGCTGGGATTAAAGACATGTACCACCACGCCCAGCCTGGTATCTAGGTTTTAAATGAAGTAGTCAAAAGTTATTTATTTTGTTTATCAACTTTTTTGGTGATGCTGGGGATTAAACTGAAGGCCATTCCCTAAACATCTGCCACATAGCTACAGCTCATCTCTTAGGTTTTTTTTTGAGACAAGGTTTCACTGTGTAGCCCAGGCTAGCCTTGAACTCAAGATCCTTTTATTTTATTTTATTTATTTATTCTATTATCAGCTTGATACAGTACAAATTCTTATCCTAATATTGAAATATTTCACTGAAGCTTGCCCAGTGATTGGGTAAACCCAAAACTTACTATTAGCCATAGTCATTCTAGGGTCCTCCCTGTTAGGTGGCCTCCCTGGATCTGTGGGTTACAGTCTGATTGTTCTTTGCTTTATATCTAGTATCCACTTATGAGTGAGTACATACCATGTTTGTCCTTCTGGGTTTGGGTTACCTCACTCAGGATGATATTTTCTAGTTCCATCTATTTGCCTGCAAATTTTATGCTGTCATTGTTTTTCTCTGCTGAGTAGTACTCCATTGTGTATATGAACCACATTTTCTTAATCCATTCTTCAGTTGACGGACATCTAGGTTGTTTCCAGGTTCTGGCTATTACGAATAATGCTGCTATGAACATAGTTGAGCATGTATCTTTGTGGTATGATTGAGCATTCCTTGGGTATATGCTCAGGAGTGTTATGGCAGGGTCTTGGAACTCAAGATCATTTTGCTTGAGCCTCCCAAGTGCTAGGATGGCTATGCACGCCTAGCAGTGTATCTTTACCATTAAGGTACAGTGCAGGGCCTGGCAGGGTGGTACAGGTCCCTAGTTCCAGCACTTAGAGGCAGAGGCAGGCAGGTCTTTGTGATTTTAAGGCCGGCCTAGTCTACATAGAGAGTTCCAGGCCAGCCAGGGCTACATAGTGAGACTCTGTCTCAAAAAGCAAAGCATACCTTCCCCTAAAAACTCATCAAACCACGCCCAAATTCCATTCAAATAAGGAGAGAAATAGGAAGTGAATATGATCAAAATACATGGTATTAAATTTTCCAAGAATTAATAAAATATATTTTAAGGTATACAAAGCAATGTAGCATAAATTGTACATGTAACATACAAAAATCTGACAGCATTCTCTTTCTAAAATATATTGGATTATTGAATAGGAAAGAAAAAAGCAGGCAGAGCTGTAAACGCTCCTTCCTTCCTGTTTAAGGACTGAGCGTGGAGTCCTGGCCATCACACTTGGGAGGACTCGATCTATCATGGAACTGCTCATTACGTCCTCAGTGCTCATCATGGACATGCTGAGCTCTTGTACGACCGTCCTCCCATCAAGTTTTTCTAACTTGAGTTTTGTTTGCTTAGTGTTTATTGTTTGCATCCCGTGAACAATACTAGAGAAAAACTATCCCAGGCGTGGCGGCTCACATCTTTAATTCTAAAATTGGAGATCTTTATGGCTTTGAGGTTGGCCTGGTTAACATAGCAAGTTCCAGGCCAGCCAAGGCTATGCAGATATAAGGCTATATTGTCTCAAAAGAGAAAACAAAAACCAACTGCAACAAAAAAATGATTTGTGCAGAACGTGTTTATCATCTCCAGTTAACTGACACAGAATATTGCTGTCAAAGACTTCTAACATGCAGAATGTACTTAGAAATCATAGGTTTTATATTAGGTTTCAAACTTGACATTGTTCTAAAATTGTTTAAGACTGTAATGCCTTTTTTTTTTTTTTTGGCAAGTTAAAAATCTAGTTACACAATGTTTTACATAAAAAAGAAAGAAAGAAAAACTAAGAGATGTTGGTAGGAGTGGAAATCTGTTTTCAGCTGAGAATTAGGAACAGTGATTTCCAGGGAACAGGAAGCTATGCAGATGTTGGAATGAGGTGCAGAAGATCCACTTGCCTGGCCTGCACCAGGGTGTGGCCCATAGAGGGAGATAAATCCGGTAGATTTAGAATGAGCCCGTGGGCTATAAAACAGAGGCAAGAGCATTATGGATTGGATTCCGAGTTGAGCGTTCAGATTTTGCCTTTTAAATCACAGGTCTGGTTACGTAGTCCAGGCATCCTCCTGCCTCAGTCTCCTGAGTGCTGGGATTATAGGTGTCTGTCACCATGCTGGCCATCTTAACTACTTTTAACTACACAGCTCAGTGGCAGTAAATGCTGACGTCATTGGGTGTGTTACTCCTACCTGTTACACAGACGGACCTCTGTATCCCAATCTGTTCCTCACCGCTGCTCTGCCCTGGCAACCATATTTTCTACCTCTCCCCCTCCCCCTCCCCCTCCCCCCTCCCCCCTCCCTCTCTCTCTCTCTCTCTCTCTCTCTCTCTCTCTCTCTCTCTCTCTCTCTCTCTCTCTTCTTCTTCTTTTTTTTTTTTCAGTTTCAAAAATCAATTTCTTACATTTTACTGGCCATTCCCGAGCTGCTCGTTTTTATCTCAGAATCTACCTCTCGTTTATATAATTTTTGGTTACTCTGAGTACCTCATGTAAGGGTCATAAGTATTTTGTCTTTGTGTGACTAGCTTATTTTACTAATACAGTGCCCTCAAGCTTTATCTGTGCCGTAGTCTATACAAAATACCTTCCTTTTAAAGGCTGTACAATACTTTGGCTTTGCAGACTTTCACACCACGTATTTTTTCCTGTTTATTGTATATAATTGCCCCCTCAATGTCCCATATATAGCACAGCTGGGAACTTTATGTGTATTATCATATGTAATCCTTTTCATGATAGAAAATTTGTAATTTGTTCTTAATTTGCAGCTTTTTTCAAAGAACAAACCTCCAAAGGGCCTGTATGTTTATGGAGACGTTGGTAAGTGTTGAATACGTCCTGGGGGGCGGGCGGCCAGAAGCTTCTGAAGGTTTCACTCAGGGACAGCAGCTTCCATGTCCACCTCAGTCCCAAAGCACAGGAGAACTGGCTGAGGACTGTGAAGTGGGAGGGAGAGAGGGACAGTGACCCAGCCTTCACCCTTCTTCTCCTAGGCTGTGGCTGTAACTTAAGGCAGAACTGGGTGCCATGTGAGGGTGACTGCTTTATTATGCATGAAGTGAAGTGAGCCGGCCCGCAGGAAGTTGTCTGTGGCTGACGTCACAGCCAGGAGCTCATGACCGTGCTGTTTGTCTCTGCGAACTCCTTTTTAAAATTAAGCGTATGCTTTTTGACTTTCTGGTTGCCACCCAGATTTCTATCGATAATCTAAGCCCTTAGAGTAATGACCCGGTTATCATTATTATCTGTCCGCCCCCACCCTAGCCCCCACACAGGGTCTCTCTGTGTTCCCTGCGCTGGTGTCCATTTTGTGGACTCACACCCCTCCTGCCTCAGCAGCCCCTGTCCTGTAGTCTCCTTTAAAGCAGTTAGTAGATGCGGTTGGGGCGTGAGCCGCAGTACTTCCTTGATCTCCTAGTTCTGTCCATGGGGTGGACTTGCCTTTCCTTAGCTACTAGGCTGGTTGTGAGTTTTGAGATGATGTTTTTCATTCACAGCAGGTGCTGGGCAGTGTTCTGTGTCTGCGCGGGGTGCTGCTCACAGCCTGCGCCCGGGCACTGCTCACAACCTCCTTCTGGCCAGCTTGTGTTCTTTGGGAGAGCATTGTACTTCCTGTACCTTCACTTTCATGTTCCGTCATTACAAAAACCTGTTCCTTGTTGTTCCTGTTACCTTAACCACTTGACCTTAAATGGAGATGGTTAGTAGAGACTTCTGCAAAAGGGCTTCAAAAACAAGACTGGTAAAAGTTGCTCCCATGGGCTGGAGAGATGGTTCAGGGGTTAAGTGCATGGGCTGCTCTTCCAGAGGACCGGGGTTCAATTCCCAGCACCCACATGGCAGCTCACAACTGTCCGTCCAGTTCCAGGGGATCTGCCACCCTCACACAGACCTACATGCAGGCAAAACACCAATGCACATAAAATAAATAAATAATTTTTAAAAGTTGCTCCCATAGTCTAACTAATTGAATGGAGATATAGTATGAATAATGCAGCTGAGTCCTTGAAAAAAAAAAAAAAAAACTAGCCACAAATGAGGTGCAGACCTGCAGCCCCAACACTCAGGGGGAGTATGAGCTTGAGGCTAGCCTGGGCGATGTTGTAAGGCCTTGTCTCAAATAAAACAGAATAATGAGAAGAAAGAGGGAGAGAGAGGGGGAGGGAGGGAGAAAGAAATATCGGGGATGTTCAGTCTAGGCTGGGTACATGCTGTTGGTTAAAATACTTTTTTTTTTATAACACAAAGGGGAAGAGAGACAAACCTTGAACTAGGAAGTGATAACTTTTGGTGGCTAGAATCAGTTTCGAATACTCAGAAGAGGGGGAATAAGAAGTCAAGTTCTCATTTTGGGGGCTCTTGGCTAGAATAGCCTGAGAATGCCACCCCAGACTCTTATTCTTTACCATCCCATTCCCAGGAAACCAGTTTCCTGGAAAGGAGGGTACCTGCTTCCTGTCATCCCTTGCTACGCCCCATTTCTCCACTGCCTTGTGCTCTGTGGCACCCACCATATTGTTTAAAAACTTTATCAGCTATTAGTTTGAAGTGAGATAATTTGAAGACTGTCTCATGAATAAACTAAAAAATAGTTTTACAGGGGCAAAAAAAATCCAGTCACACAAGAATTTTCCTCCTTTTAAAGGCTAAAGAGTGTTCCATCACATGAATGTAGCACAGGCTGTTATCCACTTATCTACCAGTGGGTGTTTGGAGTCCTTCTGCCTTCAGTTGTTGTGAATAATGCTACTATGAGCACTGATGTATAGATCTTGGTTTGCATCCCCACTTTCCGTTATTTTATATCCCCCAAAGCGGGGTTGCTAGACGGTGGCTGTGTTGTGTTTACTTAGGGGCCTGCCACACTGTTCCCAGGCAGTGGAGCGTGCCGTTGTCCTGCCTGCCAGCAAGTGGAACCCAGGAGCTCTGTCTTCATTTTGCTGTTGTTCTGAGTTTTGAGATGGGGTCTTATTAAATCCGAGCCGGCCTCAAACTCAGTGTGTAGCTGAGACTGTCCTCGGCATTCTGGACTTGTAGGAGTGTGTGCCCCAGTGCCTCGTGGTTGAGTACCATTGTGCTCAGGGCCTTCCAAAGGCTCCTCAGACACTTGTCTGGAGGCAAGGATGAGAAATGAAATCAGAGACTGGGATACCTAGTCTGGGATACCAGAAAAATGCCCTTAGGGCAGCTCACACAAATGACCGGCTGTGTGCAGACTCTAGCCCTTGCTTTGTGTTTCCTCTATATTGTTTAGTTGAGATAGGGGTTAGTTTTTTTTTTTCTTCAGTATTTTCAGTGATTTAGCTTTTGGTTTATTGATTTCTTAATTTTATTATTTCCTTTCTTTTTTACTTTGGGTTTCATTTGCTGCCTTTTCTGAGTTTGTAGAATAGTATAAGTTCCTATTGATTTTAAAGTGTTGCTTTTTTTTTTTTTTTTTTTTTTTTTTTTTGGTTTTTCGAGACAGGGTTTCTCTGTGTAGCTTTGCGCCTTTCCTGGGACTCACTTGGTAGTCCAGGCTGGCCTCGAACTCACAGAGATCCGCCTGGCTCTGCCTCCCGAGTGCTGGGATTAAAGGCGTGAGCCACCACCGCCCGGCTAAAGTGTTGCTTTTTAATATAAGCATTTGAAGTTATAAAATTACCTCTAAGAGTTACTTTGGCAGTGCTCATCAAATGTTGATATGTCTTTGACTTTCCATTTTGTTTGAAGCAGGATAGAAAGACAAAATTATGAGGGTATGAGGAAAAGGAGTCACCCCGAGTCTGATCAAAGTCTCTGCCAGTTGAGGATCAAGAGTTCCACTACTACCAGGTGGTGGTGGCGCACGCCTTTAATACTAGTACTCTGGAGGCAGAGGCAGGTGGATCTCTGTGAGTTCGAGGCCAGCCTGAGGTACAGAGCGAGATCCAGGACAGGCTCCAAAACTACACAGAGAAACCCTGTCTCGAAACAAACAAACAAACAAACAAACAAAAAGTTCCAACACAATTAACATTGGCTGTATAGACTGCCTACATAAAGACATTCCTTGCAATGTAAGGACATTTGAATAAGAATGCTAAGATAGCAGAGAGCCATGTTTAAGGCCTGAACACCTGTATCCTTTAGTGTGATCCTGTCCATGTACTCTCCTATTAATTTTAGTTCGCAGTTAGCGTCTCATGCAATCCCTGTGATCTGAAGTGTTACTTTGTCTGCTGTATTCCTGGTGACTCCATGATCTAATTTAAAATTCTTGGGCACCCTTTAAAGACAACTTGAAACTCCACCAAATCATATGTATGGCTATTATAAAGACAAGGAAATGAGGCCCTCCTCTGGGAAGCCAATGCCCGTAGTCTCAGACCTGTCTCATGCTCTCTCTGAGTACCTCTTTCTTTCTTTCTTTTAATCCTTGTGTCTAATCTGTGTTTAAAATGAACTGCAGCTCTGCTTTATCCTGGTTCATCCTGAAAGTCCTTTCTGTGGCAAAGTCAAGGATCCTACTTTACCTAAGGGGAGTCTAGAAAGAATTCAAGCTGCTGTGGGAGGTAGTGTGGGGCTGCATGGGTTGCTTAACTACATGTTGATAAATTTCTAAATATCTGATTGATTTCTAGTTGATTTTATTGTGGTCCCAGAAAATGATGTGTATGATTCAATTACTTTCCCTTCATATTTCAGAAAACTAACTATGATTTAGGGTTGAATGTTGTGGAATAGAATATTTGTTTAACTATGTAAAGATGTGTTGCTGTTTGGCATTGCCTCACTAAGGCACCTAATTGGTCTAATAAAAAGCTGAATGAACAATAGCTAGGCAGAGGAGGGATAGATGGGGCTGGCGAGCAGAGAGTAAAGAGGAGCTGGCCAGCCAGCTGGGGATCAGCCAGCCGGGCATGGAGGAAGCAGGAAAGCAGGGTAGACAGTACGTAGATGAGGTAAATGAGTCTTAGGGTAGCACACAGATGAATAGAAATGAGTTAATTTAAGTTAAAAAAATAAAAGCTAGCTAGAAACAAGTCTAAGTTAAGGCTGAGCATTCATAATTAATAATAAGTCTCTGTGTCATGATTTGGGGACTGGTGGCCCAAGAAAGCCTGCTACATTTGGCGCTCAGGATGGGGCATGTATTTCTATGTAGGGCCAGAGAAAGCTGAAAAAAAAAAAAGAAAAAAAATGATAGGGTGGGCAGGAGAGATGGCTCAGTGGTTAAGGGCACTGGCTGCTCCTCCTAAAGGTCCTGAGTTCAATTCCCAGCAACCACATGGTGACTCACAGCCATCTTTAATGAGATCTGGCACCCTCTTCTGGCCAGCAGGCATACATGCAGACAGAACACTGTATACATAATAAATAAATAAATCTTTTTTAAAAAATGAGAGGGCTTCCTAGTAGCCCTGTGCTCGTAGCATATCATACAGAGACACAGCTCTGCTGTACAGCGAGCACTTGAGCAGCTGGCACATTAAACAGAAACAACAAGCTAAGTAAAAATGTCCGCCACTGTGGGCACCAACTTCCTAGAGCTGGGTAGTTAAATGCAGCTCCCAGTTAAACTCAGCGCCCGGTTAAATGCAGCTCTTGGCCAAGCCTGTGGGTGTAAAACTTGGCTCTCTTGTCCCGAGCAGGGCAGAGCCAGGCACCAGCCCAAAGCTGCACTAAGGTTTGGCTCAAGGGTCAGAGAATGTTACAGGTGCACAGTGAAGCAGGTCCAGACCGAAAAACCCTCTAAACAGGTTACAGTGTGCTTAAAAATGTGTGTAGGTGCTTAAGAAAGAAAAGAAAATGAGATAGGCACAGGAAAAAATAGTTTAAAAATGATAAAGTCTTTAAAG